TCTGTTCTCTACTTTTATTAAATTATCCTTATGGCTGGTAACAGAAATTGAGTGGCTATATTATCTTTCCTTAAATATTAAACTGGGCCAACCCTAGCATGTTGTATATGAATTTGTGATAACAAACACATGTATAAAAGACATCTTTCTCTTTTTCTTTCTTTCTTTCTTTCTTTCTTTCTTTCTTTCTTTCTTTCTTTCCTTCTTTCTTCCTTCCTTCCTTCCTTCCTTCCTTCCTCTCCTCTCCTCTCCTCTCCTCTCCTCTCCTTTCCGTCCTTAGTTTTTATTTAAATTCCAGTTAGTTAGCATAGAATGTAATATTAGTTTCAGGTATACATCCTATTTCTTCCTTTTTTAAGTCTGATTCCAGGTCCCCATCTGGCTTGAAATTCAATCTCAGCCATTAATTGACCTTTCTTATCCTCTACCGCAAAGTTATGCAAAGGTCCTGGGGCGAAGTATTCTAGGATTCTCTTTTAGTCATCAGTTCACAGTGGCTTTCCCAGAGGAAACTATTGTTGCTATCCATGTGGTCCTGAGAAGCTGAGCAACCGGGCATATCCTATGAGGAATGGAGGTCTGGAGTCTTGAGTACAGTGGGAGGGCTTGTCCAGTTGGGGGTAGCAATTTCCTCCCCAGAACACACAAAACTTCCAGTGGTAGAACTTGCCCTGTGGAATCATTCCAGCCTCCCGGCCTGCTCCTCCTTCCCCTCCATCTCAAGACTTACGGCAAAATCTGCCTGACCAGCTAAGGCTCCAGGAAAGACTGAAAGAATCTGTCTTCAAACTCTTCTGCTTTCAGTCTTAAAGCACCCCTGGGTGAAAACACCAAAGAGCCTGACCACCTTGGAATGACGGGAGAAAAGAATACAGAGAATTGCATACAAATTCCTATCTCAATAAACTACTCTGTCCCCTTGGTCTGGAGACTTGAGGAAGGCCAGTCAGCAGAACCTTTGCACACGGGTCTTAACATGTTTCTGTCACACATGGGAGACCTGAGACCAGGGACTGCTCATGAGGTCACGTGAGCCCCATTCTGCCAGGGGCTGTAACCGTTTGGAAAAGGAAGAGCTGGGAAGGAGTTGATGAGCTCCCGCCTGGTGCGGGCCTTCCTAGGACTGTCACATGTGACCAAGCCTCTCCTCAGCATCTTGGCCTGCAAGTGTCTACCAGCTACGGTGTGTGCATTAAAGAGCTAAGTGGCACTGACAGGACTGAGGACCGCAGTTAGACCCCAAGAGAGTCCCCAGAGCTATACAGAGACCCTGCCATCTCGGGCCCTGTCCTCCACCCTAGAGTTTTCTTCCATCGGTCAGACTCAAGCTGAATCATGAAAAGAACATGCAGAGGAAGTTCTGCACTGTGGCAGGCTGGTTCTCTATTCTGTTCGCTACCTAACGGCTGTATTTCTTTAATAATCTAGAAATAAACAAGGCTTTCTGTAAACTATTCAAAGGGTTGGGGCGCCTGGGTGGCGCAATCGGTTAAGCGTCCGACTTCAGCCAGGTCACGATCTCGCGGTCCGGGAGTTCAAGCCCCGCGTCGGGCTCTGGGCTGATGGCTCGGAGCCTGGAGCCTGTTTCCGATTCTGTGTCTCCCTCTCTCTCTGCCCCTCCCCTGTTCATGCTCTGTCTCTCTCTGTCCCAAAAATAAATAAACGTTGAAAAAAAAAAATTCAAAGGGTTAATGGTACCGCCTTATCACGTGTGAGCACTTCCAGCCTCCAGAAGGGACGAGATACTACCTCGTGCAAAACAACTACCATGTCCCTGAGGCAGCAGTCACCCTGCTTCCAAAGCTCTGGGCTCTGCTGCAAACTCACCTTGTCACCTGCAGAAGGATTGTTTCCAAGCCCCTCTGCCGAGCACAATGTCTTCTCTAACATCACTGGTTTGGAAAGGGATTTGTTTAAGCATCTAAGCTCAGCTAAACAAAGGGAGTTGCACACAATGCAGTATCCTTGGAAGCTTTAACAAAGGATCTATTAAAACTTGCTTGCCAATTTTCAATCTTTAGCTTCCAAAAGTAATGCTCGACAAATAAGCAGGGGAATTTTCCAAAGCATTAATGCGTTGTTGGTATTCACTTTAGAAATAAGTAAGATTATTGAAGTCTAACCGATTAAAGCTAGTATTGGTTTTGAAGTAATCAGGCACTGACTTTTGAAAGAAATCTGAATTTGAGGCAGTAGTCGTCCCATGATCACTTTCGAACAAGAGTACAACATTCCATACCATTTACAGGCTGAAGGCTTTGACTTTCAGCTAAAGGACTCCAAGGCTGATCTGACAGGTAGACAAACCTCCCCAGCAAAGCACAGTCACTGACAAACGTCCAGCCCTCTCGCCCTTGAGACTCCGAGGCCCAGGCAGACTCTGCTGACACCTGGTGGCAGACCGTGAGTTCAAAGCTGATTTCCCTCCACCTGACCCGCTGCCTGGATTTCTAGTCCGTGTAACGAACACCTGCTAAAACAGCAGGAAAGGTGTTTTGTGGAGGAAGAGCTGCTCTACAAGATCTAAAGATTAATAGCGGGGCATTAGCACCACTGAAGAAGTCTGGGCAGGTACCAAGAATATTCACACTGCAAAGCCTGCCTTTGCAAAATTGTTCTTCCCAAAGATATTTGTCTGAGCAACCTCTGAATCCACTTCTGTATCTGTTCATTCTACCACGCCTCCCCTGCTCCTGTTCTTTATAGCCAAAAATACAGAAAGGAATGGCCTTATTCTTACAAAAAGGAAATTTAAATGGCTCTGCTGTTGTTAATGAACTCAACCCTAATTGGGAAAAACTCCAACTAGAAGAAAGAGGACAAGTACAGGAAACATTTGACTGGTAACATTTTGACAAGTAACATGCCGAGCGTTAGCTTCATCCAAGGGCAAGGCACCCAAGGAAAGGGAATGGGAGGGAAGGTTTTGTGGAAAATGAAAAGTTGAGTCCTTGCCTGGGTCCCAGGAGCAGTACTGGGCAGTATTATGGGAGATGACAGGTGCAGGTGGAAGGGAGAGAATTCACAAGCAGTGGAAAATACCTGACTTGTAGGAAAAGGCCTGGCTTTACTTCCCAATGTGCTTCTCTCTTTTTCAAGAGAGAGAGAGAGAGAGAGCGTGCACCCGCACACTCGAGCAAGTGGGAGAGGGGCAGAGAAAGAAAATCTTAAGCAGGCTCTATGCCGAGGACTAAGCCCTATGTGAGGCTCGATCTCACAAGCCTGAGATCATGACTTGAGCTGAAATCAAGAGTCTGATGCTTAATTGACTGAGCCACCCAGGCGCCCCACTTCCCAATATTTGATGTGGGATAACCTTTCATTCTGTGTCTAAACTTTCCCTCTGTGCAATGAATCTTCTTTGTGCAACAGCAACGTGACAGTTGTCCCCAAAATAGAGTATGTGTGTGCCAGGCACTGAGCCAGGTCATCTGACCAAAACCTCAGAGCCCTTCTGTGAAGTCAGTGCTATCATACCCCATTTAACGGGGAAAGAAACTGAGACGCAGACAGACTGGGTGGCTGGCCCGAGGTCACACCTCCCAACTAGTGACAACATATGCATTCTTCTAACCCAGGGCCGTCTGCCTTCAAAAACCCTCCTCTTTCCTCCTTCCTCACGCTCGCCAAAACCAAACACTGGGGGAGAAACAGTTCTGATCCATGCCAAAGTGCACCACTGGCCGTTTTGAATTTGTGTCATTTCAAAATGTCACCACAAGTTCACTTCTGGGTCACTTGTAAAACAAGCAACTTTGCTTTAAGGTAAGTGGGTGGCGGGGGGGGGGGGGGGGGGGGGGGGGAGATCCTGCTGTAATTTGTACAGTTGTAGGATCCACGGTTCAGTTCCAGCAGAAACCGAGTACAGCTTTCCAGGGACAGTGCAAACAGAAACAAATGACAGTCTAGGCCACCTATGTTGCCTCTTGTGAATAACCACCACGGCGCTTTTTCCAGCTCACGCGAGAACCCCGCTGCAGAAAACACCTGGCAGCAGAGGGAAGCCACAGGTGCCGCAGCACCCAGCTTCAGGCCAGTAAAAACCAGCTAACTCTCGATGAGATGTTTCATCTCACGTTCATTTCCTCAATTCCATCCGAGACACATATGCGCGCAGGACTGCTGACCAATTACAGCCTACGTCCGTGTATAAATGCGGATGGCCGTTCTTCAAGTGCAGAAGCTTCTCGAGTTTGTCCGATCGACACGGGTCTCCTTTGCTATGAAATGAGCTTCAAGAATCTATAAAGTTTTGCTTTCAGGCTCAAATACAATCTCAAGGCCATTCATTCATTCAAGAAATATTTATGCTGCCCCACTAAGTGCCACAGACTTCTATACACTGGGGGCATTCTAACAGCAGGAGACAGACCAGAAAAAGTTTTTTGTTTTTTTTTTTGTTTTTTTTTTTTTTTTTTTTTTAGAGTTAGAGGGGCAGGGAGTGCTGCAGGGGGCAGGCTTTTGCTATTTTATATGGGGTGAGCGGGGAAGTCTTTAACAGCATTTATGCAGACACCTGACAGAAACAAGGGCAACTCACAAAAATAACGAGGAGAAAAGGCATTGCAGGCAAAAGGAAGAGTGAGTGCAAAGGCCCTGGGCTATGAATGTGTTTGGCATGCACCAGGAAGAGAAGCAAGGCCAAAGCGGCTATTCAGAGAGAGGAGAGATGCTGGTTGAAGTCACATAAGCTTAGGGGCTGATCACATAGGACCTCACAAATCTCAGCAAGAAATTGGCTTTTTTTCCTCAGCAAAGGATGACGAGATTTAGGTTCTGGAACAATCACTCTGACTGCTGGGGGAGGGACACCATAGCAGGGCAAGGAGTAGGAGCAGGGGGTCCCAGTTAGAAGGCTCTTGCAGTAATCCAGGGGAGAGATGGTGATGCCTTGGGCCAATCAGTAGCAGGGGAAAAGGCGAGTCGAGGCTGGAGGCTGGATATACTTCGGAGGTGGAATTGACAGGGCTGGCTGATGGACTGGATGCGGGGTAGAAGAGGAAAAAGAAAAATGTCTCCAAAGTTTTGGGTCTACACAAACGGACGAGGGTTCTTTCCTTCGGTGGGGAAGACCGAGGGGTGACCAGGGGAGGGGAGAGAGCTCAGAAGCTTGTTCTCTGACATGTTAAAAGTCTGAGATGTCTGTTAGCTCATTCGCCACCTTAATGGAGATATAGAGTGGCCAGTTAGAGGTACGAGTGTGGGGCTCGGGGGAAGATCTGGGCTGTGGGGTAAAATGAGGAGTCGGCAGCATGCAGTTGGTGTTGAAAGCTGTGAGATGCCTGAGCTCATCACGGAGGTAGATGCAGTTAGAGAAGCCAGGGGGACTGGGCGTTCCAGTATTGGAGGAGATAAGGGCGGGCGGAGGAAATGAGGTTGAGCGGCCAGTGGAGCGCGAGGAAGCCACAAGAAGCAGGGGTTTGCAAGAGGAGGGTGTCCGTTGCTTTTGTGTCAAATGTCCCTGACAGGTGGACTCAAACACGGGGAAGCACATTCCTCTGGCAACAGGGGAACCATTGGTGACCCTGCCCAACGCCGTGTCAGTAGACCGAGGGGGACAGAAGCCCAACCAGAGAGAGTTCAAGGGAAGCTGAGAAGTGGAAAAAAGGAGGGTGTGCAGAACTCTGTCAAGGGTTTGTGTTAACAGGAAGATGGGAGTCACCCCAGCATGTTCACATGCCGGTGGGAATGACCCGGAGGAGGGGCGAGGACAGCACTGTGGTGGTGCTTGGGGGCGGGGGCGGGGAGGATGCCCAGACGGAGGACAGACTTGGAAAGGGGCACTGCTGCTGGCTCACCACCGTCACAAGCAGGGGGACACGGTAGTGGGAGCAGGAGCAAGCCACCCGCCGATGGCCTGTTTTCTCAGTGAAACAGGAAACAACAGGAGCAGCCCTCGAGAGGAGAGGAGGGGTCAGGGTCGAGGGTCGAGGGTCAAGGAGAATGTCCACTGGAGGACGAAGGAACCAGGGACGTGCGGGGCTGCTGGGCAGCGTTAGGAACTTACTGGAGCCCGGCACTCATGAACCAAAGCTTTGTCAGTCCACATGCTTGTATCCAGCCGTGTGCAGGCATTCCAGGCACAGAGTGGGACTAAACCCAGGGGCATGGCGGATGAGGACCAGAGAATCTCTGGGGAGGGGAGGGGCAGTGAAAAGGTGGTAGGGGCCACAAACTCTAGGCCCGGCGAGGCTGAAGAACCGCCGAGGGGGTGGGCACTGGAGGGGGAGGGACGGAAGGGCAGGGGGCCACGGGTGGAAAACGAGAGGTGTAGTTATGAAGACCGTGTTGCCTACTGGGGTGTGGCTACTGATGATGACCATGGCTAAGGTGTGACGGCGGGAGCAGGAGGCCGAGATGGAGTACGGGATCAGTACATCACAGCCAGGCTGGTCAGTGACCTGAGAGCCCCGCGGTACTGTGAGGCTTCTCTGTACTGAACCCTGACCAGAGCAGTACTGGAGAGGTGACGGTGAGCCAGGGGCTAATATGGTGAAGGAATGGGGGGCGGGCGGCCGGGGGCCTGCAGGAGTCTGCAATGGGGGGTGGGAGGTAGGCAGTGCATAGTCTGATGGCACTGGGAGCAAAGTTGGGGGTTAAAGGGAGGAGGAAGGACAAGGATTAGGAAATTAAATGAGTTTTTTTGTTTGTTTTTCGCTAAACAGAATTTAACACTGAAAGGATAGGAGAGAGCTCGTGATCTTTCTGGCTCCTACCACGAACTCCCCTCCCACAAAGGCTGGCGGGGCACAGAGAGAGGTGGAGGGTGGCAATGAGTTTGATAGTGTGGGTCCAACGTGCGCGATGGGGGCTGCCCGGGCCTCCAGAACCCAAGACCCACCGCCTTGACGGTGGAGTTCAAAATATTAACCTCCAACCAATTAAGCAACTATCCTGCCAGCTTCAGTTACTTATGCTAATCTAATGAATCAGAAGAGTTCTGAGGAAAGTAAGGGAAACTGCGAGCAACCAGTAATCAGAGCCCTGCCCCCAACACACATGCACACACAACAAAGAAAAGATGACAAGGGTCGGTACCTCGAACACCGTCACCCTCAGACTTCTCTTCCCGCTACAGATGCGAGTCCACAGTCTCAGACACCCCCTCCTTGCCTCCATATGCAGCGGCAGTTTTCCAAAGGGGCACAGGCAAAGCCGCCTCTCTGGGTGTCCCAACGAGGCAGGAACATCCTCACTTTCCCAGCCTGTGTGTGGAGGAGGCAGAAAGGAAAGCATCTAAAACAAAGCAACTAAAGCTCCTCAAACTCACATACAGCGAGGCTTAGCTAAATGTGGGACTAAATGTGGGACTAGGGCCTGTATGTTCCTGTGGCACAAGAACAATTGAAAAGGGCACAGAACCATGTAGAAGGGGTGCCAACCAATAACAATGGGACAGCGTCTCCTGGCCGACACCCTTGCTACCATGTTTCTCCAAGGGCCCAATATTGCTAAGTGTGGCATTTGAAGCCAGGAGGAACCTGTTCTGTGACTTCTCAGGTTTTAGGTCTTGGGCGAGTGTCTTCATGTCTGAGAGCATCAAGGTTCTTGGTGCCTTGATAAAGTTGATGGCTGCTGCAGTGCTCATAATAAGCATAAGACACTGTGCACTTACCTTTGTGCTAGCCCTGCGTGCCCCGTAGGCAATGTCTTGCTCGATCCCCAAAACTCTGTGAGGTGGGCATTGGCTTCTCATTCTACAGATGGGGTTCTGTTCGGAGTTCTTTCCAACTTGAGGACTTATGAGATCATACTTACGACACCTGCAGTGTCTGGAACATAGTGATGATTCCAAAGGAAAAGGATACTCCTGAACCGTGTTTAAGAGAATGAGAATTTTTTTTTTTTTAATTTTTTTTTCAACGTTTATTTATTTTTGGGACAGAGAGAGACAGAGCATGAACGGGGGAGGGGCAGAGAGAGAGGGAGACACAGAATCTGAAACAGGCTCCAGGCTCTGAGCCGTCAGCCCAGAGCCTGACGCGGGGCTCGAACTCACGGACCGCGAGATCGTGACCTGGCTGAAGTCGGACGCTTAACCGACTGCGCCACCCAGGCGCCCCAAGAATATTTTAAATATCAAATGATAGCACTTTAGAACGCATGTGTAAATAATGAGATATATGCAGAAAAAAGTATGGCATATCGGGCTATGCAAAGGAATGATCTTGAAAGAAGGGGATTTTTACTTACCTTAAAAGTTGGTTGTTTTTAACAAGCAGATGTTACCTGCTTATTAACCAAAATTGGGGAGGCTGGGGGCTCAGTCGGTTAAGCGTCTGACTTTGGCTCAGATCATGATCTCACAGTTTGTGGGTTTGAGCCCCGTGTCGGGCTCTGGGCTGACAGCTCAGAGCCTGGAGCCTGCTTTGGATTCTGTGCCTCCCTCTCTCTCTGCCCCTCCCTTGTTCATGCTCTGTCTCTGTCTCAAAAAAATAAAAATAATAAAATAATAATAAAATAAACAACAACAGAAAAAAGCACACCAAAATGATCAGAAACACTAAAAAACCTATATAGAAGAAATAACCCTAGATGGGATAACCAAAATGTTACTGGAGATTTCCTGAGTTTTTTTCCTTGCTTCTTTTAATTTTTTAAAATTAATTTTTTTAAGCAGGCTTCATGCCCAGCATGGGGCCCGAACTCACAACCCTGAGATCAAGACCTGAGCTGGGATCAAGAGTCAGACGCCCAGGGGCGCCTGGGTGGCGCAGTCGGTTAAGCGTCCGACTTCAACCAGGTCACGATCTCGCGGTCCGGGAGTTCGAGCCCCGCGTCGGGCTCTGGGCTGACGGCTCAGAGCCTGGAGCCTGTTTCCGATTCTGTGTCTCCCTCTCTCTGCCCCTTCCCCATTCATGCTCTGTCTCTCTCTGTCCCAAAAATAAATAAACGTTGAAAAAAGAAAAAAAGAGTCAGACGCCTGACTGAACCACCCAGACGCCCCTATTTCTTTTCATTTCTATACAGATATTAGTTATTAGTAATTCTTAACACAAATACATTCTCCTTATAAACATTACAGGCTTTTACGATTTTAGGACTTTCACCTCCCAATTACCTCCCTAGAGGTAATCAGAGTTACCAATTTGGTGTATATTGTTTTTTGCACATGTACATATGTGTATACAATGTGTATATTCATATATATGTACATATATAGACACATTATAGGTATTATTTTGTGCCTTTAAACAAATGACATCAGTTTGAGTCCCTCTGCAATTCCATCAAGATGTCCCGAAGACGGTCCCATGTCAGTAAATAATATATGTGCCCCTCATTGTTTCAAATTAAGTTGTTGAGAATCCAGATACACTGTACTTTGTTTACTCTGCTATGACTTTAATTAGGTTGTTTACAGTGTTTTTCTATTGCAAATAACACTGCAGTAGATTCCCTTCTAAATGCCTCCTTCTGCAGGCACGAGAGGGTTTCCCTGGGACAGATTCTGGGAAGTGGAACTTCTGGGTCAATGGAATCTGCACTTTTGGTTTTTTAATAGATACCACACCTAAGGGACTGCACACGAATTTCTACTCCCACTGACAGCGTGGGTACACATCACTGCCAATATTTATTACCAAACCTTTTTACTTTTTGCCAACTTGACGAATGAAAATGTATCCTTTTGTTTTGAATCTCCTTGAATAACACCATGTGCTCCTTTTCACATGTTTATAAGCCATACAGGTTTCCTTTTTCATGAACTCCTCCATAAAATGTGTCTGTTTTTTTGTGGCATGTGTGTCCATTTCTCATAGACGACTTATAATAACAGTTATTCACATATTCAGGAAACGAATCCTTTGTCTATGTAAAATTTTTTTCATGTTTATTTGAGGGGGGGAAGGGGCAGCGTACGTGCGCGAGCGCGAGCGAGAGAGAGAGAGTCCCAAGCAGGCTCCTCTCTATCAGTGCACAGCCTGACTCAGGGCTCGATCTCACTAACCCAACGGTAAGATCATGACCTGAGCCGGAATCAAGAGTCAGACACTTAACCGACTGAGCCACCCAGGAGCCCCATTCTTTGTCTACTTTATAACTGCAAATATGGGGCACCTGGGTGGCTCAATCGGTTGAGTGTCCGACTTCAGCACAGGTCATGATCTCACGGTTCGTGGGTTCGAGTCCCACATTGGGCTTTGTGCTGACAGCTCGGAGCCTGAAGCTGCTTCGGATTCTATGTCTTCCTGTCTCTCTCTGCCCCTTCCCCACTCACGCTCTGTCTCTCTCTCTCAAAAATAATACATTAAAAAATTTTTTTTAAATAACTGCAAGTAGTTTCTCCCATTCACTTGTCTTTCAACCTTTTTTTTTTTTTTGAGGGAGGGAGTTAGTTTTTCATAGAGACACATAAAATTTAGCAAATTATAGTATTTGCATTTTGTGTTTTAAGGACTTCTCTATCCCATGGTCACATATATAATCCATTTTTTTTCCTAATAAGCTCATCATCTTGTTTTTCATGTCTAGTTATTTAATCCATTTGAAATTTATGTGAATGGTAGCAAGTAGGACCCTAACTCACTCTTGTCACGCCTAGCCAGCTGCTAAAAATATCCTTTTCTTTAAATTTTATTTTTTTAAATTTACATCCAAATTAGTTAGCATATAATTATCCTTCTTTTCTTACAAATACATTTATTATATACTAAGTTTCCACATACATTAGTTTTACTTGTTATTCTTTTTTTTTTTTTTTTTTTTTTTGGTCTATTTCTGTATCACTCCCCAGTTGTTTTAATTATACACCTTTAAAGCACATTTTGACACCTGGTGGGTAACCCCCCTTCCTTTTTGCTTTTTCAGTTGATCGTGGCTCTTTTTGCACATTTCCTTTTCCAAATAAAATCTCTAAGCCAGTTTGTCAAACGCCAATATAAATCCTTGGGGGTTTTGATGGAGGTTACACTAAGTTACAGGTTCGGTACAAACCTATGTCTTTATGACACCGGGGTTTCCATCTATGAACATGTGATCCCTCTTCGCTTAGGTCTCTTATATCCTCTAGGAACGTTGTGTGCACACGTCTCAGTAGGTTGGTCATCAGGTGCTCTGGAAGTTTCTCGTTACTTCTCCTAATGTGTCACTTGATATGCTTGGAATCCTGTTGTCTGCAAAGGGATGGTTTACCTCCTCCTCTCCAGTATCTGTGCTCCTTATCACTTTTCTTATTGTATTGGCTACAACAAGACCCGCAGAACAATTCTGGATAGTCCCGGCAGCAGTGGTCACCTTGGTCCTGCATCTTCTCTGATAGGTCTGCCTAGAACACTTGTCCAGTAAGCGGGTTCTCTGTGGACAACTTTCGCTAAGCGAAGGGCACATCCTTTTCCTGCCTTTCACTTACGCCCGGGGTTGCAGATCATCAAATGCTTGTTTGGCAGCTACTGAGAGAAGCGTAATTTCTTTCTCCTGTAATCTACAGATTTTGTGAATTACTTTGATAGGTTTTCTGTAGTTTTGAACCAATCTTCCATTCCTGGTAAAAGCCCTCTTCAGTCATAAGACATTTCTAGTTTTGATTTCCACACCTGTGTTTATAACTATATGTAACTAATCAGGAAAATACACACCAAAACAAAGGACTTTGTATGCATCTTTTTGCATTATTTGTTAAAAAAGAAAATATACAGGTGAAAAAAAAAAAGGCTTCATTTTTCTTAGAAAAGAAAAACTCGGGGCGCCTGGGTGGCTCAGTCGGTTGAGCATCCGACTTCCGCTCAGGTCATGATTTCACGGTTCATGGGTTCGAGCCCCGCATTGGGCTCTGTGCTGACAGCTCAGAGCCTGGAGCCTGCTTCAGAGTCTGTGTCCCCCTCTCTCTCCACCCCACCCCTGCTTGTGTTCTGTCTCTGTCTTTCAAAAACGAATAAACATAAAAAAAATTTTAAAAAAATGAAAAACTGGTGTGTAAACTGAGTGCAAAATGAGCAAATGTAATGTGCTCTAACCTGTTCTTCTCCTCACCAAATCCCCTACTTGGGTCAACGCCCTCGCCATCAAGCCAGCCACTCGCTCCGGCAAGAATCACCAAGTCCCCACTCCTCCTTCTGCTACACCCTCCACACCCAGCCCTCACCAAGCCCCAGATTCCCCCAGTCCCTCCACCCCACACCTCTAACTGGAGGCCACAGGGCTGACAGGGCAAGGTCAGGACTTCAAGATACACCCAGGTCCAATCCCACTGTACATGACTGCATCACTTTGGGTGAACTACCTTACCTCTCTGGGCCCCAATTTCTTTATCCATAAATAGATATGATACTATCTAGACTGAAGAGCTGGGGTAAAAAGTGAATGAGATAATATATGTAAAGTACCCCACAAGATGCTTGCCATGTAACTCGTGACCAAATGGCAACACTATCTCGCGAGAAAGTCTCCTCCCCTCCCCTTCCCCTGTGCCGAACTCTGGAGGTCAGGCCATCCAGACTTTTGCCTGGTCCATGACAACTGTCTTTCTGCCTTCTAGATGCTGCGGCCAAAGCTCCCTTTCTAAAATACGAATCTAGTCCTATAATTTATCTGTTTAAATCTTTCCATTGGCTCCCTACTACCTACTAGGTAAAGTTCCAACTCCTTAGCGTGATAGATAAAGCCTAGCTCAACCTCCCTTCTGGCCTTCTCTTCCTCCCCTCTGGTGCAAGGGCCTTCCACTCTAGTACATTGAAATCTGTAACTTCCTGCAGAAAATCCCAAGTTCTTTAACAGCATTTTGCCTTTATACATGCTGGTCCCTCTTCCTAAAAGCTTTTCCCTTATTTTCTACTAAGTAAAAATTCCTATTTAATCTTTTAAGAAAAAGCTCAACGGATACTTCTTTTAAAATAAAAATTAGGGGCGCCTGGGTGGCTCAGTCGGTTGAGCGTCCGACTTCGGCCCAGGTCATGATCTCGCGGTCCATGAGTTCAAGCCCCGCGTCGGGCTCTGTGCTGACAGCTCGGAGCCCGGAGCCTTGTTTCAGATTCTGTGTCTCCCATTCTCTCTGACCCTCCCCTGTTCATGCTCTGTCTCTGTCTCAAAAATAAATAAACATTAAAAAAAAAATTTTTTTAATAAAAATTAACCAAGGGCACCTGGGTGGCTCAGTTGGTTAAGTGTTCAACTCTTACTTTTGGCTCAGGTCATGATTGCAGTTTGTGGGATAGAGCCCTATTTCGGGCTCCATATTCACAGCATGGAGCTTGCTTGGGATTCTCTCTCTACCCTCCCCAGCTCTCTTCTCTCTCAAAATAAACTTTAAAAAAAAAACAAATAAATAAAAATAAAAACTAAGCCTGCACAGAATATAGAATTAACTATCCCATCATCCATTGTTCCCATGGCAGCTTCCACTGTTACTATATTAAAATTACTTGCTTAAATATCTTTCCCCACTTGCTGAGGCAAAAACTGTGTCTTATTTCAGTGTTTATTCACTCCTCGGGAGCCTGGGTCATTGGTCCATTCAGCCCTTTTTTAATGAATGAAACCATGAATAAACTTTCTCTTTTAAATAAGGCTCTACTATACTAAATCTTTCAACAAGCCCCAAAAAAACCATATTTTGATTATGTTAATCAGACTTTCAAAGCTGATTTTTTTTTTTTTAAGTTGGCCTCTACCACAATGAAACCAATTTGTCCTACTAGCAATTTTGAGGGTTCTTGGAATAATTCTAGGGCCAACTAACTTCGTAGGAGTTCTCATTAGATCCACATGCTGTCCGAGAGGCCCCTTTGAAATCAGGACTCTTTAGGAACTGGTAGTAGCCATTATAGGGAACCCAGAGTATTATATTATTTTGAAAAAAAATGTACCTTCCATGTCTTAGACTTGTTCTCAGCGAAAAATTTTCTTCCAGAAGTGCAAACATCCTGCTACCTTTTCTCTCCAAAGAAATGAGTTTGGTTCTATTATAGTTTGCTCCTGAAGTAAGGAAACACAGCTCGGGGGGTGGGAAATCAGTCGTGTTATTTGTGTGGGCTGAAATATGAAAAGAAAAGAAACACTCTTACATCAGAAAACCTCTCACTGTGGCCAAAAAGATGCCACTGGTGGTCATGAGAGACTCATAATCTCTGCTAACCAAAGACGGTAACGGTCCACAGTGGCTCTAATGGAAACCATGGGAAGAACACAAAATGAACAGAATGACCTTAGTCTTATATTCTTTTTTTATTAAAAAAATTATTTTTGAAATTTATTATTTGAGAGACAGAGAGGGTAGACACATGCAAGAGAGCACGTGTAGGGGAGAGGCAGAGAGAGAGAGAGAGAGAGAGAGAGAGAGAGAGAGAGACAGGGAGAGAATCTCAAGTTGGACGCTTAACCGACTGAGCCACCCAGGCACCCCATCTTCCAATCTTTTTAAGGAACCCAACATGCAAGCCACCCAAATAACCCCTAATTTCAGAAAAATAAGTTATGACTAGAGAACCAATCGTCCATGATGATTTTTGGATAACCATTTCTTTCACTTAAAAAAAAAAAATCGTATGTTTTTTTCTCATAATACATTATTTTACAACAAGAAAAAAAGAAAAAGTACAGACCTGCAGGGACAGAAAACACCACAGACTTCAGCAAAAATCGCAGAGCCTACGATTAATTTTTTAGGTTTATTTATCAATTTCAAAAAAAAAACTCACTAGTGGGATAAAGAGCTTAAGACAGGTATGCAAAAAGGGAGCCCCCAAAGGGTTTTCACCAGGATGAAATGGGATTAGCTTTGTAGTTCTTATAATCTTCTTCACAGAAGAATGCAATTTCAGTTTCATGAGCTGGAAAAAAAAAAAAAAAAAAAGACAATGGAAAAAAAAATGTTAATGTAAAACTAGATTTTTAAGCAAGTATTGAAATCCATATTACTCTGATTCAGTGTTTCAGACGCCGAAAGTGAGAAAAATGAGCTACTTGTTTGGTTTCACATTTCATCAAATCAACAAGAAGTATCGGTTGTTGTAAGAATTCTGAACTCGAATAATTTAAAATTAAAAAGAAAAATACCCAAGAAAACAATTAAAAACAAGAATTCGTACAAGACTCTGGTGTCCAGGAAACCATAAAATTGCTCATGTTATAGACCTCTTAACAGTCCTAGAAAATTAACGTTTATTTTTTTTTCCCCCAAATTTGCTGCTCGGTTACTGAAGGCGGAGGAAGAATGCTCTTTTTTTGTCTCTCTGAAATTAGCCTGTAGGTATAATAATTTAATACTTAGAGGATCAGTAGAATACTTTACAGATCACTTTACATTCTCCCTCATGACCCATCAAAATATGTGTCTGAAGAAGTTAATTTTTTGCCTGCTTATGACTAATTCATGAGGCTTCAACAATATGCAAAGTGAAAGACACAAATTGGCTTCTACCGCAATACCTTCAAACACCTCTAATTATTCACAGGGGATATAGCACAGCTAAAGGACCCACAGAGGGGCAAAGCAGTCACATTCTTTCAACCCAGCAGGACAAGGACTCCGTCTTCTAAAACAATAAGTCAGCAACATTATTAATTCAGACTGGAGACAAATCTGATGGAAAGCCTTCCAATTATTAAACATGCAATTCTTTAAGGTGTGCGCCAACAAGTTCCACATTCGTTTTTTAAATTAAACCAGAAGTTAATACAGTCTGCTTAGCTTCTACAGAAAGAGCAAAAGGGCCTTCAGAATCTCGACAAGAAAACAGACAAGATTATTTGTAATGAATACTGATCACTCAATTAACATATCCTCTAAAAACAGACAAGTAAAACTCTTCAAGCCAAATAAATAGGATAATAGGGAAAGAGATGCCAAGGATTACCACCCCCGGGTCTCTTAGTTTACCAAACTCATCTCATCGCTAGAATTTACCACAAAAGAATGAAATTAAGGAGCTTGGCACAGCACTTCAGTTAAAAAAAAAAAATGCTGGCCTTAAGAATATCAAATTTATTGTTTCTCAATCATGGGTTGCCTGTGCTCATTACAGAAAACACAGAAATGTGGAAAGAAGAAAATAAAGACACCCATAGTCTCAGATCCTCATTCCAGTCTCACTGCATCTTCAAGATTAAGTGAAGATGAATCTTGATGAAAATCAGATTACAATCTCGGCACAATGAGCCTGGGGGTGGGGAGGAGGTGGGCAGAGAGAAACGGAGAATCTGGTGAGGAGGGGCTGTAAACAAATGCAGCCCAGGCAAACCAGAAGCTCACGTATAGCTACATTTTACAAGAAAACAGCCTTTAAAAGAATGGCTAAGAGGCCCCGCACTTGGAATCAGTAAACTGTTGACAAGGGGGCTTCAGAAAATTCAGTATTCAAAGAGAAGATGTTTTGGGGTCTGTCCTTTCTACAAAAAGCTCCCGGGGTTTCCTTTTTTGAAGTGAAGCAAGCCCAAAGGTAGACCTATATCATTTACAAGCGATGTTAATCGTTCTTCAAATGGAGAATGGGCAAAAGGCACCCTGTTCTTAATAATCACAATGCAAAGTGTTATCTAGGATGTGCTATTTACATACAGAACTTTACACAGTGCTTTGCCCACACAGCACTTTGCTCAATACACACTAACTGTAATTACGGTTTTCACTTACTGCAGCTGACATTTATCTGTACCCCTTTTGAGAAAGGGATGCATCGTATGGTTCCTCAGTACCGCAGTAACAGGTTCAGAATAAGCGGATGCAAAGAAAACACTGACGAAGCATTTTTGTTTTGACATGCAGGTTTGCTCGGGTTTAATTAACTTACAGATCAACTCATTATTTATCTAAAGTATTTACACCTTCTCCCATAATACAGGCTCAAAATGAGATCCTCCTAAGATCAAGATTTTATTTCCAGATGAATACTTTTCCTCAAAAAAAAAAAAAAAAAAAAACAAGACTGACAAATGGATTACACTCAAAAACTTCAGGCTGGTAAAACTGACACCCTTAAAAAACTGGAAAACAAGACACAAATTCAAAGCAGGTTACTCGGAACATTAAAAAGTAAGACTTGGGGCGCCTGGGTGGCGCAGTCGGTTAAGCGTCCGACTTCAGCCAGGTCACGATCTCGCGGTCCGTGAGTTCGAGCCCCGCGTCGGGCTCTGGGCTGATGGCTCGGAGCCTGGAGCCTTTTTCTGATTCTGTGTCTCCCTCTCTCTCTGCCCCTCCCCCGTTCATGCTCTGTCTCTCTCTGTCCCAAAAATAAAATAAACATTGAAAAAAAAAAAAGTAAGACTTAAGATGTATTGTAAACTTTAGTAATGTGGTCCTCAAACAAAATGGAATGTTTTTTAAAATCAATAAAATTCTGTTGAAAATGTTTGAGACAACGATTTCCTGTACTGAGGATGCAAATTTACTTGTGAATTTAAAATGAAAACAAATTACAAAAGATTTTCAAGACCTCTCCATAATCACCCTTTCGCACCATCATCCCTTAAATTCTTGCTCCTCCAATTCTATTTAAAATGGCTCTAGAAGAACCCTCGGGAAGGCTACTGTGTGCCAGTCCCCCAGGGCACCTGATTTTAAATTAAATGTGCTGTAGGCGACAGGGCACTCGGGTGCAGAGCGCCTTGGCAAGTGGATCTGAAATGAATGTAAAATCTAAAACCCAATAAATACATTGCCAGTTCATCCTTTGTCTTACTATCAAATGATATCAAGTAAGAATCCTTCAAATACCACGCACCAATTTAATGCAGACTTTCAAGTTTGCTGAAATGAACATAAGCCAGGACATTCAAACTTTGAAAATGAAATGAATAATTGTATACCATGTGTCCAAACAGGTCAGACACCATATACATTCACCTTTAAAAAGAAAATAATAATGCCTTTATATAAAAGGATATAAGAAAAACCAATTTTAAATGTGAAATCTCAAGGAAAATTCAAGGCAATCTGCTTAAACTCCTTAACTAGCTTATTTCAAAAAACTCACCCATCGACAAGGATTTATTGCAGTTTCAAACTCCCTGGCCTGTACTAATCAGCACCAATGTAGCATAAGGCACAGTAACTGTTGTCTGAGAAGAGAGAGAGACCTGTGCGCTGGCTCTGTGGGACAGATAATGATCAAGGCAGTCTGTAATGTGATAATAATTGCGATTATGGGCACACGTACACACACACACACACACACACACACACACACACACACACACACAAAATACGGGAAGAGCGAGGTTTGGTTTCTGCGGCAATTTGAGACCAAAAGGACAAAGTTCTGCCCTCTCTCCTGGTCCAGGAATACATCTTACCCTTGCAAGGTTCACAAAATCCCAATGTACAAATCATTCAAAACTGTGCTCACAGCTGAGTTATATTTCTAACTTTGCACCAAAGGGATCCGGCAGAAAGTTCCCAAACACAGTGGTTTTTATTTTATGTTTGCTTCAAGCGTCTGGTGTTCCTGAGATCAGCTGCCAGAGAGGGTTTCAAGCTACAGTTTGAAGAAAACGAATAGTAAAAGAAATCTGACCTTTGACAGACTGGACGCAGGCCTGTGATGTCCACAATGGTGAGGGGAAGGTAGAAAGGAAACAGTCCCGACCTCTTGCTCTGGAAGCCCAATTTCCTGGGTCTAGCACCTACTTCCCTGAGTACCAGACTATCACTGTGTTGATGTTTAAAGTACAGAACAGCCCCCTTCCCGCGCTGTCAAGGGAGGAGAACATGTCCGCCCAAAGATATTACTACCCAGAAGAGAATGGGAAAGGGACCCAAACCTTCAGGAAACACAAATCAAACACGAGCCCGATAAAGGGATGGAAGCCAAAGAATCCCACAACATCAGCTGTACGTGTGAGGTCATCAGAAGGTGCTGGGCACAGAGTCAGGGATCTGGTCATGGGCAGGCACCAAGAGGTGACACGCAGGAGGAAAACAGACCACAAGGGAGCTTTGGAAGGATCACACGATCCGGTTTTACGCAAGCTCTTCCCTCAGATCAGCACTTCTGGTTTGGCCCACTGTATCTTGTCTTAAAATATTTCCAGTAAAACACAACTGGTTGGAAAGAGTTACCCTGCCACCATTTCTTTCCTAAGGAAAGAAGATTCAAAAGATAATAGTGGCAGAGTGTTGCAAAAGGAAAGAGATACCCCCAAAATACTTACATGCAAATCTACCACTTAGGGGAATCAGTGCACAAAACCACAATCATTAATAACAAGGTAAAAATCTTTCGATTACAAATAACAGTTCTGAGCCAAGCTTTCTTCTTCCTTCCAAAAAGCAAATCTTTTTACTTCTGTCTTTTAGCTCCGAGTCCGCAAGCGAAAATTTGCCCTGACGTCAGGCGCAGAATATACAATTGGGATCTGCAATGCAGATAAAAGGTCGGAGCAGGAACTGGAGAATTTCTCCGTGAGAAAAGAGATCTTCAAACAAGTTTGTCCCCCTAATTTCCCCTCCACACACACAGTCCTTCCTTCCCTTTCATGAATTCTGCAGAAAAGTCCTAATGATAAATTTGTTACATTGGCATTATTCCCATGGCAACTGGCTGTGATGGCAGAGTGACAGCTCTACAGCAAGATCAAGTGGTACAAAGGGAGAGGGACGACTTCGAATTTTTCCCTTAAACCTCTTAAAACCTAACCAGACACAGCACTGAGGGAGCGGCAATTCCCTAGAAAAGTCGCACACTTCAAGGGTCGTTTTTACAACTCTACTCCCACTTAGAATTTTTGGTTGGTCTCCAGGGCCCGTTGCCTCCTCCTCTAGGTGTTAAATGAAGCTTCTCCAGGGTACAGCTACACGGCCCCAGGCAACACGGAGGGACGTTGTGGGACAGGAGAGCCACTCAGGCTGGGCCTAGCGTCACCCCTGAGCAGGGCTAGGGGCTTGCACCCTGGGACTCGTCCCACCCTGAGACTCGTGGAAAGGATCTGATTCTCCCCAAAGACCCATGGCTTTAAAACAGGAATGACAAAAAGATGGATTTGATGCTTACCTTCACAGATGGTTCATTACATGAGTCTGAAAGTTTTTAATTTTTCTTAATGTTTATTTATTCACTTTTTGAGAGAGACAGAGAGAGAGAGAGACAGGGGGGGGGGCGTGCGAGCGAGCTTGTGCAGGGGAGGGGCAGAGAGAAAGGGACACACAGAATCCAAAGCAGGCTCCAGGTTCCGAGCTGTCAGCACAGAGCCTGATGTGGGGCTCGAACTCACAAACTGTGAGATCATGATCTGAGCCGAAGTCGGACACATAACCGACTGAGCCACCCAGGTGCCCATACAGGAGTCTGAGATTAATGACAATTAAACCAACAACTCACATTTGCCAACTGCCTTCTCCAAAATGGTTTCCAAATAAGTATTTCTGAGGGTCTCTACGGACATCGTTCCAGATGCTTTCATAGATTTTTTTCATTCAACTCTTAAGACAACAGTCTGACACAGGTCTAATTGGTTCTGTTTTGTGTTACAGAGATCAGAACATTCAAAAACACTAAATGGCTTCCCAAAGGTCACAAAATAAGTGAAATGCAGAGCCTTCACTCAAACCAATTTTCAGGAGTCTATTCTTTAAAATTGGTTCCTTAATTTACAAATTAAGTATATGTGAACTGTATAAAAATTTTCCACTACAAGAACAATTAGACAATATGGAGAGGAAAAAAAAATCAATTGTTTAAAGTGCCGCCACCCGAAGAACCATTTCTAAAATTTTGTTACATGATCTTTTCTCCATATACACATACAGATGTGTAAATATATATTTTAAACAGTAATGGTATCACACAATATATTCTATTTCCATTCAATAAAGAAAGCTCTACACCAGTGATTTCACAAACAGGGAAGGTGAGAGAACCCCTGCCACCCCTCTGAAGGCACATCTCAACCTCCGGGGAGTCACAGAGTTTGAGGAAGCGTACTCCTGTTGGCCTGGTAACAGATACAAGACAAAGTTAAGGAGCGAGAAAGTCTCATTGGCCAAACTGACCTACAGGAAGTTAGAGGTAATATACATTCCCAAGAGTAGTACAAAAGAGTATCCACTTCCCAACATTCTCTTGGATACTACCACTTTTCTTCATGTCTGCTAGTCTTGAAACCACTACCTGTCAGGGCGCCTGGGCAGCTCAGTTGGTTAAGCGGCCGACTTTGGCTCGGGTCATGATTTCACGGTTCATGGGTTCGAGCCCCATGTCAGGCTGTATGCTGACAGCTTGGAGCCTGGAGCCAGCTTCGGATTCTGTGTCTCCCTCTCTCTCTGCCCCTCCCCTGCTCGTGCTCTATTTCTCAAAAATAAATATTTTTTAAAAATGTTTTTTAATGTTTAAAAGTAATAATAAATAACAAATTGGTACTTGTCCAAGGTCACCCAGCCAGTAAGTGGCAGAATGAGGTTGTAAACCCAAGCGCTCTGGCTCCAGTCTCTAATTCTTAACCACTAGATTACTATTACTACATAAAATAGCATCTATCATCATGTATCTCTCTCTCTCAGGACTAATAAGGCTGAACTATTTTTCATATGTTAGCTATTTCTTCCACCAGTAGGATTTCTTATCTTTTTCAAGCTAATTATAAGAGCTTTTATCAATTCAGGCTAATAACTTTTTTGTCATATACAAAGTATTTTTTCATAGTTTGGTGCTTCTGCTTTAACTCTGTTTACAATTTTTAGTTTTTACGTGGTCAAATATATCATTTCGCCCCGATTTATGGCTCTGCCTTCAAAGTCATGCTTGGAGAGCTCTTCTCCCCATGATTATGAAATTACTAAGCTACATTTTATTTAAAAAAATTTTTTTGGGGGGCACCTGGGTGGCTCAGTCGGTTAAGCCTCCGACTTCAGCTCAGGTCATGACCTCGCGGTCCGTGAGTTCGAGCCCCGCGTTGGGCTCTGTGCTGACAGCTCAGAGCCCGGAGCCTGTTTCAGATTCTGTGTCTCCCTCTCTCTGACCCTCCCCCGTTCATGCTCTGTCTCTCTCTGTCTTAAAAATAAATAAACGTTAAAAAATTTTAAAAAAAAATTTTTTTTTACATTGTGACATTTAATCAATCCACAACTTATTTTGGAATAAAGATTGAGATAAGGATTTAAATTTTATTTTCCTGAATGCTTTGGCAATGGGCCTGACATCATTTTCTAGCTAATTCACTCTTTCCCCACTCATTTGAGATGTCAAAACTGTATCATATTGCGAACTCTGACTTCTTTTTTAGTTTGCTTCTGATCTTTTCCATGGAGCTTTCAATCCGTACATTAATACCACAGCAATCTGTTATAATAATTACAGCTTTATGCGTTAGTGACAAGCGGGGCTAACTTCTAGGTGCTGTATGCGTCAATAACACAGGTGCCACTTGCTGTAATAATATAACAGCATTTGAAGAAATAAATGCCAAAATAAAAACTGTGTTTCAAACAATAGCAATCTTACCTATTTATAATATGAAAAGACACTAAATCCAGCTAATAGTGGAAACAAACAGGGAAAGTCAGTCTAAGATTTTGTAACGTGTTATTCAAAATCCTACTTAAATTAGAAGACATGTCAGGAACTTACCTTAGCCACACGGATCCTTCGAAATTGAATTCCTGACATATGTCACTAAAATGACTCAAGAGAACACCTGCCAAAAAGATGAAAGCTTCCTAACAGGGACCTCACTTAGAGTACCCCTTAACCAGTACATGTAAATAATTATGAAGGAAGTGTGATCTGTGCTGTTTCATTAGAGTCACTGACCGCAGAGGTACGTCAGAGGCATAGTGCCTTTAACTGCTCACACCTCTGAAAATCTTCACTGCTATTGCCAGATGATCTTTAGGTGTACATACACAGAATTAGAGTGACATCTAATGGTCACAAAACATGTCACACGGTATTTCTTTAAAACAGAACCACACGCAGGTTGAAGAGCTAGGTGGGGCCCCTTTTCAACCGCACACACTAGGCTCCTGCTTGAAATTCCACGGCTTGGTGGCCCTGAGTGATCCAGAAGACTATTAGAAACTGCGCTGCACGTTATACAAACAACATCTTACTTCATTATTCCACGTTACTTCTACCAGGTCCGTTTCTCTCAAACCGTCAGTTCAAATGATGCTGATAAGAGTAAGTAGGTTATTAAGTGAGTAATAACCTGTCAATCACTTAAAATAACTCTCAGCAGAATTCTGAGCATACCTGCTGAAAAGAACTATTTGCATTCTGCACATTTGGAGAGCAGATATCTCCTGCCCTCAGTCAAATGATCTGAATGTACATCATTCTCGTCCTCCTCCTCTGAATAATTATCAGGGAGTGTAAAGAGCACCCAGGGTAGCATTTACTTTGCGGTGAGTTATCCAAACATCAGTCGGGCGTCAGCAGAGAGGCTGGGGGAGCGAGCGCCCCTCCAGCACCGCAGGGCCCCTCTCGCTCACCGATTCCAGCGGCTCGCAGCGTGCTGTCTTCCTTCAGCATGAGTCTGTCATCATCTTCCAAACTCAACACAAGCTCATTTGTCTGGAAAGAAAGAAAACCTGTATCTTACCAGTACTTATAGATGCTTTGTGTTTGGTAAGACTTCTTGAAGACACAGGATTGTTACCCTGGGTCACGGCAATAACCGGAGTCACATGCTGTTCCCACCATCGACAGGGCAGAAGCACACACATGTGAACACCCATTATGTGTGCTCGCTCCGCAAGGGCTGGGGAGCACAGGGCTTTGGCACCAGGTCCAGATTAAAATTTGGTTTCCACCAATGCCCCGCTGTGTGTTCTCAACAAACTACACAGCCTCTCCAAGACTTAGTTTCCTCCTTTGTAGAAAAGGGAGAGGAAGGAATCTTCTCTTTTGCCCTGTGGTGAAGATGAAATGAGATGAAACCGTCAATAGGTTATCCGTCACAGAGCAAGGACTCTCCACGTTAGCTGCTGCTATTCTGTTGTTGCTGTCATCATCATCGTCATCATCATCATCATCATCTCATCCTCACAGTATTCCAGGAGACCACCATCACCATCATTACCACCACCACCACCATTATCATCATCATCATCATCATCATCATCATC